CTATAGAGGCAGGCCTAAGCTATAGAGGCTGGCCTAAGGTATAGAGGCAGGCCTAAGCTATAGAGGCTGGCCTAAGGTATAGAGGCTGGCCTAAGGTATAGAGGCAGGCCTAAGCTATAGAGGCAGGCCTAAGCTATAGAGGCTGGCCTAAGGTATAGAGGCAGGCCTAAGCTATAGAGGCTGGCCTAAGGTATAGAGGCTGGCCTAAGGTATAGAGGCTGGCCTAAGGTATAGAGGCAGGCCTAAGGTATAGAGGCAGGCCTAAGGTATAGAGGCAGGCCTAAGCTATAGAGGCAGGCCTAAGCTATAGAGGCTGGCCTAAGGTATAGAGGCAGGCCTAAGCTATAGAGGCAGGCCTAAGCTATAGAGGCTGGCCTAAGGTATAGAGGCAGGCCTAAGCTATAGAGGCTGGCCTAAGGTATAGAGGCTGGCCTAAGGTATAGAGGCTGGCCTAAGGTATAGAGGCAGGCCTAAGGTATAGAGGCAGGCCTAAGGTATAGAGGCAGGCCTAAGGTATAGAGGCAGGCCTAAGCTATAGAGGCTGGCCTAAGGTATAGAGGCAGGCCTAAGCTATAGAGGCAGGCCTAAGCTATAGAGGCAGGCCTAAGCTATAGAGGCTGGCCTAAGGTATAGAGGCAGGCCTAAGCTATAGAGGCTGGCCTAAGCTATAGAGGCAGGCCTAAGGTATAGAGGCTGGCCTAAGGTATAGAGGCTGGCCTAAGGTATAGAGGCTGGCCTAAGGTATAGAGGCTGGCCTAAGGTATAGAGGCAGGCCTAAGGTATAGAGGCAGACCTAAGGTATAGAGGCAGGCCTAAGGTATAGAGGCAGGCCTAAGGTATAGAAGCAGGCCTAAGGTATAGAGGCAGGCCTAAGGTATAGAGGCAGGCCTAAGGTATAGAGGCAGGCCTAAGCTATAGAGGCAGGCCTAAGCTATAGAGGCAGGCCTAAGCTATAGAGGCAGGCCTACGCTGTAAGGACAGACCTAAGCTACAGGAGCGAGACTAAGACGTGTCAAGAGCGCCACACTGCCACTCCTGTATCCTCTACAAGAGGTAATTAGAAAATCTATAAGGGGATATGAGGCGGCGAGGGAAGAGGGGGGGAGAGGGGGGGAGCTAATGGGGAATCTGATGCCTCAAGAAGGGATCGATGGCAGGAACATGGCATCCAAGCGTTTATCAGTCACTGTGCTCACCTTGTTGTGCTCACCTTCTTGTACTCAGGTAATTACCTACTTGTACTCACCTAGTGGTAGTTACCTAATTGTCCTCACGTAATTGTACCTGCTGTGGATGTACAGGTTTCTAGGAATATATATATATATATATATATATATATATATATATATATATATATATATATATATATATATATATATATATATATATATATATATGTCGTACCTAGTAGCCAGAACGCACTTCTCAGCCTACTATGCAAGGCCCAATTTGCCTAATAAGCCAAGTTTTCATGAATTAATTGTTTTTCGACAACCTAACCTACCTAACCTAACCTAACCTAACTTTTCCGGCTACCTAACCTAACCTAACCTATAAAGATAGGTTAGGTTAGGTAGGGTTGGTTAGGTTCGGTCATATTTCTACGTTAATTTTAACTCCAATAAAATAAAATTGACCTCATACATAATGAAATGGGTAGCTTTATCATTTCATAAGAAAAATATTAGAGAAAATATATTAATTCAGGAAAACTTGGCTTATTAGGCAAATCGGGCCTTGCATAGTAGGCCGGGAAGTGCATTCTGGCTACTAGGTACGACATATATATATATATATATATATATATATATATATATATATATATATATATATATATATATATATATATAGACACCCGTGTTCCCTTGTTTGTGTGTTGTTAATATCATCAAGTTTGGTCTTGGTAATTATATTTTTCCACGAGTATTTTGTATGTAGAGATTATGTCTACCCCTCTTTCTTATCTGTTACAGTGACTAAAATTGCATTCATACATAAACAAGTTTAAGAAATACGCAAATGCGTTATGGAGAATGACTATAGAAAATAGAGAGAGAATTATATACGTAGAATAGTATATGTGGGTTGGAAAATGGAAGAGAAAGCAAAGTAAAAGGATGGAGAAAGAGAGAGAGAGAGAGAGAGAGAGAGAGAGAGTCAAAAGAATCAAAATCTATCTGAAACAGACCACATTGAATAATAGATTTAAATAAGTCACAAAACTACTAAATAAAAGCCACATAAATCAGTTAAATAATAAGTATGACAACAGTACAAGTGAAAGAGAAGCAAGGCAGACCAAAATATAGAAACTTCATTGACAAAACATGAAAGAAAGCCATTGTTGAGTACAACAATAGAAAACGTGATTCGCGGAGCAGGCGTCTCAATGGGACAATGGCAGACTTAATTATCCCATGAAAAATGTCAGACTTTAATTATGGATCCATATAAATAATTATATATATATATATATATATATATATATATATATATATATATATATATATATGTCGTACCTAGTAGCCAGAACTCACTTTTTTGCCTACTATTCAAGGCCCGATTTGCCTAATAAGCCAAGTTTTCCTGAATTAATATATTTTCTCAAATTTTTTTCTTATGAAATGATAAATCAACCCATTTCATTATGTATGAGGTCAATTTTTTTTTATTGGAGTTAAAATTAACGTAGATATATGACCGAACCTAACCAACCCTACCTAACCTAACCTAACCTATCTCTATAGGTTAGGTTTGGTTAGGTAGCCGAAAAAGTTAGGTTAGGTTAGGTTAGGTAGGTTAGGTAGTCGAAAAACAATTAATTCATGAAAACTTGGCTTATTAGGCAAATCGGGCCTTGCATAGTAGGCTGAGAAGTGCGTTCTGGCTACTAGGTACGACATATATATATATATATATATATATATATATATATATATATATATATGTCGTACCTAGTAGCCAGAACGCACTTCTCAGCCTACTATGCGAGGCCCGATTTGCCTAATAAGCCAAGTTTTCATGAATTAATTGTTTTTCGACTACCTAACCTACCTAACCTAACCTAACCTAGCTTTTTCGGCTACCTAACCTAACCTAACCCATAAAGATAGGTTAGGTTAGGTTAGGTAGGGTTGGTTAGGTTCGGTCATATATCTACGTTAATTTTAACTCCAATAAAAAAAAATTGACCTCATACATAATGAAATGGGTAGCTTTATCATTTCATAAGAAAAAAATTTGAGAAAATATATTAATTCAGGAAAACTTGGCTTATTAGGCAAATCGGGCCCTGAATTGTAGGCTGAGAAGTGCGTTCTGGCTACTAGGTACGACATATATATATATATATATATATATATATATATATATATATATATATATATATATATATATATATATGGTCCATATATCACCCACGTGATGTATGGAGTGTTCAGTGAATGTTGGAGGGAATGTTGGAGGTAGTGTTGGAGGGGGTGTTGGAGGTAGTGTTGGAGGGGGTGTTGGAGGTAGTGTTGAAGGTAGTGCTGGAGGTAGTGTTGGAGGTAGTGTTGAAGATAGTGCTGGAGGTAGTGTTGGAGGTTGTGTTGGAGTGAGTGCTGAAGGCAGTGCTGGAGATAGTGTTGGAGGTAGTGTTGTAGGGGGTATTGGAGGTAGTGTTGGAGGTAGTGTTGGAGGTAGTGTTGAAGGTAGTGTTGGAGCTAGTGCTGAAGGTAGTGTTGGAGGTAGTGTTGGAGCTAGTGCTGGAGGTAGTGTTGGAGGTAGTGTTGGAGGTAGTGTTGGAAGGAGTGTCAGGAGAGTCACCACACCAAACACAGGGACACAGCTCCTATAACACATTACCATAAACATACACTTCACAAGAATAACTTCTCGTGTCCACCCACCCGCACTGGAGGCCGCGGGCAAGAAGGGTGCCTGCACCAGCCCTTGCAGTGATCAGGTTATCTTGAGGTTATCTTGAGTTGATTTCGGGGCTTTAGTGTCCTTGACCAGGCCTCCACTCCCAGGAAGCAGCCCGTGACAGCTGACTAACACCCAGGTACCTATTTACTACTAGGTAACAGGGGTATTCGGGGTGAAAAAAACTTTGCCCATTTGTTTCTGCCTCGTGCGGGAATCGAACCCGCGCCACAGAATTACGAGTCCTGCGCGCTATCCACCAGGCTACGAAGCCCCCCCCGCTATCCACCAGGCTACGAAGCCCCCCAGCAACAGATCTGAGTTGCAGGAAGCAGCAACAGGTCACACACTCATGTATTAAACTTGTACCAAAAGATGAGACGAGTTCATATGTCACCCGTGAGGTGTCGGCTGGCGCAAATTGGTCCGGAATACATTTTTGAAGGGAGTCAAAGCATGATGGTAACATTAGTGGGGAGTAAATAGGAAAGAAGGACCCCTATTTTGTCCGCCTTTCGCTCCCTCTACCTATTTCCCCCCTCCCTACCTCCCTCCATCTGATTGCAATATTACCCCTCCCTATCTTACCCTTTCCCCACCTCCCCTTTCCTTACCTCTACCTTCTCCCTCCCTATTCCCCTATTGTTCCTCCCCCCCCCACCTAACCTCTGCTCTCCTTACTTTTCCCCTTATCTGCCTTAGTCTCTATCTCTTCGTGCCTACTTCCCCCTTCCCTACCCCTCTTCCCTACATCCGCCTCCCTATATCACCCCTCCCTATCGCCCTTCCCTCCCCATTACTTGAGCCCCGGCTACCCAGAGGTAAGCAGGTAAGGAACTGATTAATTAAGAAAGGTAAGAAGCTTGGGAATAAGATTAATATCGCACCCAAGAATGTGATGGGGGATGCCTATTCTCTTCTATTCTCTCCTGTCTCTCCCATACATTCCCGTTATCCGTAGTCTTCCGCTCTTCCCCCATTCGTTGATTCTTGAGAGGTCGAGTCCTTGGATGTCGGTAAGATAGCAGTTTATAGCGCTGGTCGGTTCTTGAGTGAGTCATATTAAATTCCACACGGGTTCTCTGAAGGGTCTTTTATCTGTAAATATTTGTAAGTGGCGTTTCTAATACGTGGCCTTGGTACGTGGCCTTGGTACGTGGCCTTGGTGCGTGACTTGGTGCGTGGCCTTGGTACGTGGCCTTGGTACGTGGCCTTGGTGCGTGGCCTTGATGTGTGACTTGGTGTGGGGTATTGGTACGTGGCCTTGGTAAGTGACCTTGGCACGTGACATTGGTACGTGGCCTTGGTGCATGGCACTGGTAAGGGGCATTGGTACGTGGCCTTGATGTGTGACTTGGTGTGGGGTATTGGTACGTGGCCTTGGTACGTGGCCTTGGTGCGTGGCCTTGGTACGTGGCCTTGATGTGTGACTTGGTGTGGGGTATTGGTACGTGGCCTTGGTAAGTGACCTTGGCACGTGGCCTTGGTGTGTGGTCTTGGTGCATGGCACTGGTAAGGGGCATTGGTACGTGGCCTTGGTACGTGGCCTTGGTTCGTGGCCTTGGTACGTGGCCTTGGTGCGTGGCGAACCAGGTGCCAAGGTTGTCTGTCAAAAGCATTCGAGCATACACACACCAGTAACATACAAAGTGTTTTACACATTTTCATGTATCTTTCTTACAAATGTGTACGTATAGAAGTATGCCTACACATATATGTATGTCTGTATGCATGTTGCAACCGTATGAGGGCTATAGTTTGAAGATTTATTAGACAACATACATGAGAAATCGAATGTACTTAATACAATTTTTACAATGGTGACAATTATTTCGTATATACTGTAATGTAAAATGCATTGGAATGTTCATCGATGAGACATTCCAGTGGAATCTGATGCAATGAATGACCACAGCGGCCCAGAGATTATTATTCAAAGCTATGTTGAATTATTTATGCTCAGTTTCTATGTATTTTTACCCTGAAGGCAATTTATTGTGATTTGTGTAGAGCAGACTGCAGCCAGGAAGCGTTGTATGATGTATTATTCGTGTGAGGGGGGGGGGGAAAGGGGGTTGTAGTGAAGATTGTATGTTGTAATGGTGCTTTGTGAATTTTTTTTTTTTGTGTGTAGGGATGATTGTAGCTAGGGTGTCGATGGAGTAGCGTGTGTAGTGTATATTGTGTGTAGTGTGTATAGTGTATGTCGTGTGTGTGTATATATATACAAAAGTGGATAAAGTACTTGGTTTACGTTCCTCGTATCCTCCCACACCTGCTACAGGTAACGGTATCCCCCACACCTGCTACAGGTAACGGTACCCCCCCACACCTGCTACAGTTAACGGTATCCCCAACCTGTTCCTTGGCAACCACTGTGAGATAATTTATACTTTCTATGTACCAAGGTATCAGATTTAAACAAATCATAAAAGCAAAACAGAAAATGTCACCTAAAAGTCTACGGTGATTACCACCCACATTACACTATAATTGAGCTGAGTCCAAGTCAAATGGTGTATTTATCTTAGGAAACTTTATGTTATTTGCGTAAATACACGAGTGCAAGGTGACAGTCATATGTACCTGACTATAGCTTTCCAGTACACACAAGGATAGTCACAGTCAGACAGCAGTGACTTCAAATGTCGGCGCTGGGAGGATTAAATAACAGACGAAACTCATATTGAATGCATAGAGAAGTGCTCCGTGTATCTAAAATCCAATTATTATTTAATAATACGCGCACTGGGCCAGTTACATGTACAGGGACATGAATAAGAAACGGAATAAAATATATTTCTAATGTTAGATATGTATGGTGTGTGGCACATGTTAGTGATATTCACAGATGCAGTACATGTGCAGTATCACATGTGCAATCCTATGCACAAGCTTAGGTACAAGCCCATATATAAGTCCAAGCATTAGCTCAAGTACACGCTTAGGCTAACAATAATTATATATTTATGATCCGTTATCCAGAGTGAAACTCCCTTAACTAACATAACACTATTTGTGTCGATGCTGCCAATTAGAGGAATAAAACATGTGTTACGAATAGCAGAAATGTTTTAATTAAATGTCTTTTACGTTCTAGTTTATGACCTGAGTTTTTATTTTTTTTGCGGCATAAAATAATATTCCTTAAACACAAAGCTTTTCACGTTCTCGTGTCGCTTGATGATCGGAATTATAGCCGCGTTGACGTCACACCTGCAAGTTTGTTTACGTTCTTGCGCGATGTCACGAACGCTGAGAGCATCACGGGTTTCTGGACGCGTGCCACCACGAACGGTTAGATTAGCCATGATATGGCTCTCAGTTCGTGTCTGAGCGAGTAATAAAACGCTTTCACGAACTTCGTGGGTTTCACGAACGCCTAGACCCGCGCTGATGGCTCTCAGTTCGTGTTTGAGCGTGGAATAAAACGCTTTCACGAACTTCGTGGGTCTCGCGAACGCCTAGACCCGCGCTGATGGCTCTCAGTTCGTGTCTGAGCGTGGAATAAAACGTTTTCACGAACTTCGCGGGTCTCGCGAACGCCTAGACCCGCGCTGATGGCTCTCAGTTCGTGTCTGAGCGTGGAATAAAACGCTTTCACGAACTTCGCGGGTCTCGCGAACGCCTAGACCCGCGCTGATGGCTCTCAGTTCGTGTCTGAGCGTGGAATAAAACGCTTTCACGAACTTCGCGGGTCTCACGAACGCCTAGACCCGCGCTGATGGCTCTCAGTTCGTGTCTGAAAGTCCCACTCGACGAGGTTATCGGGACACACGGATTTAGTATTATTATAAACCGGTTTCTGACTCTGAGTTTTCTTCGGAATAAACAAATTAAAACTTGTGCGTTTCGCGGTTCGCGGCTATAATCAGCTGCAGCGTCACATTAGTCATTCGTGAGTCTATGCAAAGCAATTTGCAAGGCTGCTTCAGCCTTTTGTGGTTCAGTCTTTTCTGAATTTACAAATTTTTTACTTCGAATTCAAAGATATTTGCAGAGGACATAATAAAGTCAAACTTCTCAATAGACGAAAAAATATCATTAAATGAGCAATGTTGACCTCTTTAATCGGAATATTGGAGTATGTTTTCAGTTATTTCAATGTGTATTTACGCATTTCTATCGTAATATACTGTCGTCTCTTCCACCATGTCTCTCCCTCATCCACCACACCACACCCTCATCCACCATTTGCTATGGATTCATCTCATTTGAGATGACACGGGAGCAATTTAATGATTCCACTACAACGGGATGACACGTGAACAATAAGATGACTCAGATCAGCCCAGAAATACCGCAGCTTCAAAACATATTATGAATTATTTCTTCGGCGACCCAACAAACATATATGGTTCCTGCAGCATGTTCAGATTACCATAATTAAGGAGGACCTGAGAGACGGAGAAATAGATTGAAAGGTAGGAAAGCAGGCTGGCAGGCAGGCAGGCAGGCAGGCAGGTAGGTAGGCAGGCAGGTAGGCAGGTAGACAGGCAGGCAGGCAGGCAGGTAAGCAGGCAGGCAGGCAGGTAGACAGGCAGGCAGGCAGGCAGGCAGGCAGGCAGGCAGGCAGGCAGGCAGGCAGGCAGGTAGGCAGGCAGGCAGGCAGGCAGGCAGGTAGACAGGCAGGCAGGCAGGCAGGCAGGCAGGCAGGCAGATAGACAGGCAGGCAGGCAGGCAGGCAGGCAGGCAGGCAGATAGACAGGCAGGCAGGCAGGCAGGCAGGCAGACAGGCAGGCAGGCAGGCAGGCAGGCAGGTAGGCAGGCAGGCAGGCAGGCTGACTGGCTGGTCAAAAGCCATGGAGCCCCTCTGGTAATCACTACAATGGTTGTAGAGTAAAAACACACACACACACACACACACACACACACACACACACACACACACACACACACACACACACACACACACACACACACACACACACACTCGAATTACTTTGTCGTTTCAATGATTTATTGCTTTAATTACAAATATTATAGTCGATTTGCATATAAATTTGGCTCCCTTGGGAAGGTAGGAAATTATTTAAATATTATGTAAATATGTTGGTGTGTGTGTGTGTGTGAGTCACAGGAAGGTCAACCATACTCAATGGGCTTAATTTGTTGTTGTAGTTCATTAGGGAATAATTTGCCAGCTATTTATGAAATTATTTATATCCATATATTCCATTGTCTTGATTTTTTCTATTTTTTATGCTACTGACTTTTTAATGTTTCTATTTCAAATATATATATATATATATATATATATATATATATATATATATATATATATATATATATATATATATATATATATATATATATATATATATATATATGTGTGTGTATATCACGAAAATAAACACGTGATTAAGAATGTGACAATGTCAGACCACGGAGGAAAAATGGAAATTTCATTAAGTACTTTCGTATATTAAATACATCTTCAGAAGGTGATGATGTATTTAATATACGAAAGTACTTAAGGAAATTTCCGTTTTTTCCTCCGTGGTCTGACATTGTCATATATATATATATATATATATATATATATATATATATATATATATATATATATATATATATATATATATATATATATATATATATATATATATATTTTTTTTTTTTTTTAACCTAGAAGGGGTACCACCTCTGGTGCAAGTGTAGTGACCCATAGCCTCGGAGAAGAAAATAAAGAGTACTCAGAGAAGACCTTGTGGATCCTCACTGAACACTTTGATATTTTCTTCTCCTACCACCCCTATTCTTTTGGTATGTGTGTATATTTATCTAACTTTATTTGAAAATGTCATTACACCAAAAAAGTTACAATATTGATTACATGCAGGTTACAAGGCTGCTTGTCACAAGTTGAACAGCTCCTACAGCTCCTCAGATGGCGGGCAGGAACCATGGATGCAGTGAGCATTTCCTCTCTGGATTGCCACACTAAGGCGCTGAAAAGGAAAACTGGCAGCTCTAGGGTCTCTAGTTGTTTCGATTAGCTTAGACCCCAGCTCCTTCAAAAAGCTAGCAGCACTTTTACCCCAGGCACCAAGTGTCTCTGAGGCAATGGGGACAAAATTGTAGTGGTGCTCAAGGTCTCTGTATTTACGTGACTTGGCCGCTTCCCGGTGATTGGCAGCTCCTCCTGCTTGTGTAGCACTGAAGTCAACATAGGTATTGGCTAAAGTTGAAACGCATGTGTAGTCCCACACCAACTGTCTACCATTCTTCCAGAGGTTCACCGTGATTCCGTCTGGGCGACCGACAGGCTCACCAGAGTTGTGGGACATTAGGTAACGGGGCTCTCTCTCTGCTGGACAACCGGCTGTGGTAAGGCTTCTCTTAATAATGTCATTGACCTCGCCGTGTCTTGCATGCCATCCTCCTGTCCTTTGGCAGAGAAGGCCATGCCGTCCGTATCTGTCGGCCTCTGCCTCGCCGCAAATACACCTGTATTCGGTGTGGATTGGGGCAGCGAGGCGGAGAGCCACGGCAATTCGGAGGGCCTGCGGATATATATATATATATATATATATATATATATATATATGTCGTACCTAGTAGCCAGAACGCACTTCTCAGCCTACTATGCAAGGCCCGATTTGCCTAATAAGCCAAG